GTCAGAGAGATGGAAATTCTAAGAAAGAATAAAAAATACTAGAAACCAAACCAAACCAAACCAAACCAAACCAAACCAAACACTGTAACAGAAATGAAGATTGCCTTTAATAGGGTCCATCTCTTGATTTCAGCTCAGGTCATGATCTTAGGGTCATGAGATCAAATCCTGCATAGGCCTCCAATCTCAGTGCAGAGTCTGTTTGAGATTCTCTCTCTCTCCCTCACCTCTGCACCCCCCCCCCAATTCACGTGTGCACTCTATCTGTCTCTCTTAAATAAATAATTAGAATCTTTAAAAAATAAAGAAAAAATAAACACTTTCTCAGACAAATGAAAATTGAGAGAATCTGTAGCCAATAGACCTGTTTTGTAAGTAATATTAGGAAAGGAAGATGGCAGCAGTATAGGAGGACCCTGGGTTTGTCTTGTCCCATGAACACAACTAGGTAACTATCAAATCATCCTAAATACCTCAGAAATTGAGCCAAAGACTGACAGAACAAACTCCACAAGTAAAGGGAGAGAGGAGGTCACATTGAAGAAGGTAGAAAGTGCGGAGATGTGGTTTAGAGGAGAAATGGTTGGTGAGTGCTGCAGAGGGGAAGGAGCCATGGTCACTGAGAAGGGTAAGAGATACAAGAGTACACAGGGAAATGCACAAAGAGAAAGTTTCCCCAAAGTCATTGGCTTGGAGAAAAAGAGCAATTGAATTTTGTGAGTTCTTGCAACTAGGAGGGCTTAAAGTCTGAAGTTTTAAAGGTCAGTGAGCTTGGCTGGGATCGAGCCCAGAGGGCACTGGGCTACTTCTAGAGAGAAGGCAGGCAAAAAACCTGAGGGCAGACAGTGCAGAAACATTGATCTAAAGAACACCTAGGGAATACAGTGGGGAGATTATTTGCTCTTCTCAGAACACACCCATGAAAGGCAAATTTCACGGAGATGTCTCTCCAGGAACAATGGAGTTGGCTGACACCACTTCGCTCCCCCATCTCCCAGCATAAACACAGAGCCACCCAAGGGAAGCAGCTTGGCACCAACACTAGCTACCTAACTTGCTTACACTAAGCTCCACACCCCTGCCCTCTGACAGAACTGCTCTTCTCAGTCAAGCATGCCTCAGTCGTAACACAGCAGCCCCTTCCCCAGAAGACCAGCACAAACCCCTGCCCACATCATGTCTCTCAGCCAGAGAGTTCTGCAGGGCCTCAGTTCTGGTGGAAGTGGTTTCAGGTCTCATTTCACAAGCAGACCAGAGCACTCCTAGTTAAAACTTGTCACATTCAGGCCAGGGACCAAACACTGCCCACAGCAGATGAGAGCCTCTGCAGATGACTGGCCTAAAGGATAGAGCAGCAAGAACACAATAGCAGAGTGCATTCAGCACATTCCAGAGATGCTCCTTGAAGTGCCAGGACCTTGACACTACATGACCTCTTCTTTTGGCCATTATATTCAGGAGGAGTCATAAGTGGCTTTTTAACACAGAGAAGAAGCCAGAGACTTAGACAAAAGGCCAAGATGGAGGAATTGATCCCAAATGAAAGAACAAGATAAGGCCACAGCCAGAGATACAAGTGAAACAGATATAAGAACACCCCTGATGGAGAATTTATTTATTTATCTATCTATCTATCTATCTATCTATCTATTTATTTATTTTTAAATATTCTATTTATTTGACAGAGAGAGACACAGTGAGAGAGGGAACACAAGCAGGGAGAGTGGGAGAGGGAGAAGCAGGCTTCCCACTGAGCAGGAAGCCTGATGTGGGGCTCGATCCCAGGACCCTGAGATCATGACCTGAGCTGAAGGCAGATGCCCAACAACTGAGCCACCCAGGCGCCCCCAATGGAGAATTTAAAACAACAATCATAAGGATACTCATCGTGCTTGAGAAAAGAATAAAAGACATTAGTGAGACCCTTAACACAGAGATAAAAGAGTTAAAAAAGAATCAGAAATAAAGAGTGCAATAAATTAGATTGGAAACAGACTTGATGCAATAAACAGCAGGCTAGAGCCTGGCATGGGGCTCGATCTCACGACCCTGAGATCATGACCTGAGCCAAAACTAAGAATAAGATACCCAACTGACTGAGCCAGGCCCCCAGACAAACTAGATTTTAAACCAAAGACTATATGTAGCAAAAGATGAAGAAGGGCACCATATCATAATAAAGGGGACAATCCAACAAGAAGATGTAACAGTTGTAAATATTTATGCACCCAATATGGGAGCACCCAAATATGTAAAACAATAACAAACATGAACTAATTGATAATAATACAATAATAGTAGGGAACTTTAACACCCCACTTACGTCAATGGACAGATTATCTAAACCGAAAATAAACAAGGAAACAATGGCTTTGAAATTCTTCAAAGAGAAGGAAAATGATATCCATCAGAAACTCAGATCTAAATAAAGGAAGGAACAGTATTAGGAAAGCAATAAATAAAACACATCAGTGGCTTCCAAGTTTTGGCAAAATCTTTTAATTACAATTTTCTTAATTGATCTAAAAGAGAACAGTTTGTTCAAAATAGTAACAGCCACAAGGTATTTGATGATTATAGTTTGCATATAAGTGAAATGAATGACAACAATGATGCAAGGGACAGGAGGGAGGAATTAGGAATATTTTGTTATTATAAGATACTTGCATTGCATGAAGAAATATGAAGCTATTTGAAAGTGGAGTTGGATTAGTTGTAAACGAAGTTCACGAGCTCAGAGCAAGCACTAAAAAATGGGTAATAAAAGAAGTATAATTGAAATACTAAAAAAGGAAACAAAAAAGCAGCATATAAAATCCTCATTTAAAACTACAAAGGCATAACAGAAGTGGAAGACAAAAATAAGAACAAACAACAAGGGCAACGAATAGAAAACACTAATACACAGACCCCCAGAACATATATTTAGTAGAAATTCAAGAAGACCAGAACAGAGGGACTAAAAGAGAATTACTAGAAAAGAATAACATACCGTTTCCACAAGTGATGAAATAAATGCATTCTGAGCATTGAAAAATCTAAATAAAAATATATCCATGATCTGTACTCACCATAGTGACATTTTCAAACATTAGAGATAAATATTTTTTTAAAAATCTGCATACCACTGAAAATTAGATGGGCTCAGCCTTCTCAATGACTACAGTAGATATCAGGAAATCAAGAACCATCACCATGTACTTAGAAATAAAATAAACAGACTTTCTTTTGAAAATTGTCTGACCTGATTATTATTTAGGAGTGAGGCCATTAAAAACATTTTAAGTTTATAACATAAATATTAAGCAAGCCCATCACCACAGATCTTTTCTAAATAAAAGAACAATTAGTCAGCAAACCTTTTCAAGAAAGAAAAGAAATCAAGGACATGAAATAAAAGAAACAATGGTAAATAAAGAAAATGATAGGGATGCCTGGGTGGTTCAATCGGTTAAGCATCTGCATTCAGCTCAGGTCATGATCCCAGGGTCCTGGCATCAAGCCCTTTGTTGGGATCCCAGTTTAGCGGGGGAGTCTGCTTCTCCCTCTGCCTCTGCCCCTCCCCTGGGCTTGTGCTCTCTCTCTCTCCCTCAAATAAATAAATAAAATCTTAAAAAAGAAAGAAAGAAAATGATAAAGATAAAAGACCAAAAACCAAAGACCTTAACAAACTTACTTCACCAAAGAAGATATATGGATGGCAAATAAGCATATGAAATGGTGCTCCATATCATAAGGCATTAGGGAAATGCAAACCAAAACAAAGAGATACCACTACACACCTATTAGCATGGCCAGAATCCAGGACACAGACAATGCCAAATGCTGGAGAGGATGTAAAGCAACAAGATCTCTCATTCATTGTTGATGGGAATGAAAAATGGTTACCTTCACTTTGGAAGACAGCTTGGCAGTTTCTTACAAAACTAAACATATTCTTACTATGTGATCCAGCAATCATGGCCCTTAGCATTTACCCAAAAGAGTTGAAAACTTAGATCCACACAAAAACCTTCACATGGGGGTGCCTGGGTGGCTCAGTTGGTTAAGCGACTGCCTTCGGCTCAGGTCATGATCCTGGAGTCCCTGGATCGAGTCCCGCATCGGGCTCCCTGCTCGGCAGGGAATCTGCTTCTCCCTCTGACCCTCCTCCCTCTCATGCTCTCTGTCTCTCATTCTCTCTGTCTCAAATAAATAAATAAAATCTTTAAAAAAAAAAAAAAAAACCTTCACATGGATGTTTATAGCAGCTGTATTCATAATTGCTTGGAAGCAACCAATATGTCCTTCAGTAGGTGAATAAGCTCTGGTACATCCAGACAATGGAATACGATTTACTATTAAAAAGAAATAAGCTACCAAGCCATGAAAAAAACATAGAGGAACCTTAAATGCATATTACTAAATGAAGGAAGTCAATCTAAAAAGGCTACATATTGTATAATTCCAACTCTATGACATTCCAGAAAAGGCAAAACTATGGAGAAAGTAAAATCTACACGGAAGCAGAAAAAAATAGCTATTACTTTCTGCTGTAATAAAATTTTAAATTACTAATTTAAGAAAAGACTAACAATATGCCCCCTCAAAAAAAAAAAAAAGAAAGAAAGAAAAAAAAGCAGTGGAAAGAAAGATAAACAGAAATCACAAATTTAATGTTAGATTAAAAAAAGAAACTCATTGACACCAGTGAAAGGGAGAGCTAGTACATTTTGATAGAAGACTTTTAATACTTTTCTTTTTGGTTCCCACAAAATTATCTCCTAATGATAAGAAAATAATAAAATTTACAAAATGAAAATAGCTAACCTAGTATAAGTCTTCCTTTACACTGTTGATAATAAGATTCTTTACTTTCACTATCTATGGCAAATATAGTTTCAATAAAATATACTCAGTTTCTTCATCAAGACCCCTGATGAAATGTCTTCATACCACTCACAATAAATCACAATTCTGAAAATAATATATAAAGAATATTATTTTTTTTTACTTCCTACCTTCATCACTACTTTGATCCTGCTGGGGTCCAGATTGTAACGTAGGAACTTCTCTTGCTTTTGTGCGCATCCAGGAAATTTGCCCAGCAGATGTTTCTGACACCCAGTCACACATGTCAAATTCAAATCCACAGACCTGATACACTACAGAAAGGCGGAAAAGATAATGGTGGACCATCATAGTCTACTAGAATGGCTGCTTAGCCATAGTTGTTGTAATCAAGGCTTAACACACACATACACACTAATTCATACTTAGAAATTTTGGTTCAACAAGCCTTGGAGTATATCAGCGTATCTGTTTTTCAAAAACTCATCCTTGATCCAGATGGGCATCCTCCCAAAGGAAAACCATTGCCATTCAAAAGTGAAAAGATGTTTTTACTTCTTTTTGTACAACTGCTCCAGTTAACAATTTTTTAAATGGCATACATACTATCTGACCTGACCTATCTTATGGAACTAAGTTAGTTTAAATCATTTGCTAGTCATAATCACATTGAAATTTTAAAGAAGAAACACTGGATATAATTCAAAGATGGTCTTTAATGGAACTATTTTACAGAACAACATCACCTTAAGTTGACATATTTAGTATCTTTCATGCTTTGAATAAACCACAGACTACCAATAACAGTTCAGCTAAACTTAGGACATAAATATCAACAAAGTTTGGCAAATGAGTATCCTTAGTAGTGGTCTGAATTACTACCAGTGGTCCCAGTCTCATGGATGGCTACATACCATCACGGTGGGCATCTCAATTTAACACTTACACCTCAATCCTTCATCTGTAGAATCAGAACTGCCGAGACTTGTATCTAGATGGCACGGTTCCTGCTCTGTATTCAATGTTTCTGGACATGGTAAAATTTCATCTGTTAAATTTAAAGATTGGCAAGAAGTGAGATGTAGTAAGGAAAGACACATGTATTTCTTAAGACGTTAGCATTTGTTCTAGAAAGCACTCTCCACCCAACGCCTCTCTGTGGCAGCATCTCCCCTCAGGCAACCCCATTACACACAGAGGGAGACAGAAACAGAGAGAACAATACAACTATTCCAGTGTTTCTGGATTTTAACCAGATCCCTGTGGTGACTACCAAGCCCCCAGACCAAATCTTCCATGTTTCCATGGAAGTAACATGGCCTAATGTGGAAACAAAAAGCCTATCATTAGGAGCATAATCGAACATGTGTCATCTATAACATAGGCTGTCCTCTTTAACTGGAAGCTGATCTACTGGAACTACTGTCCCTGCGATATTCTCCCATTGTGTCTGTTTCTCCCTCTACTGCCCTCCCAACACAGGGCTGGAAACTGGACTAGGTATCCTTCCTGTCCTGTTGCCACTTCCAGACAGTTCTCACTCTCCCCTCCTGAAATACCTGAGCTGCAATCCTGACAAGAACCACAAGACCTGGGATCAGCCACCACATGGGCTCTGGTGGGGGAAATGTGCACGGGGGCCTCGCCACAAGCAGCATGGGTCCAGATGAGTGCCCCAGGCATTTCCAGTCAAAGGAATCACTATGGGTAGGCTGAAACCTCCAGGAGATTCACCACCTCCTCCAGCCTGCATCTGTGGGGCTGAAGGTGAGTGAGGAAGAGCCCACCACCATGCTGATCGAAATGGTTTTATATCGGTGACTACTCACTCCATTGCATTGTGACCATCCCACCACATTATCCTTTCTTTCTTTTTCCTCCATTCCTAGATAGCTATTCAAAACCCTTTACCCCCTCCTTCAACTTCCAATTCCTCCTTCCCCATCATCATTCTCAGATAATCATGTTGCTTCACATTTCACTGGGAAAATGAGAGGAAACAGCAGAAAATTTCACAAGTCCCACCACCCATCTCCCTGCCCATGTTTCTACAGAAAATCGTCTCCTCTTCCCTGTTGTAGGAATCATTCCAGCAATTTCCTCCCCTCTTTTACATCAACAGGCTTTCTTTCACTTCAGTACACAATGGGGCCAAAATTTCACCCATCTTAAGAAAATCCTCTGACCCTCCAACCCCCTCCAACTAACTTTGCTAAGTTCTACCTATTTACATTGACTTCAACACCAATTCTTCTCCCCACATCCTTGTTCTAGTGAGGTATTTTGATTTTTTTTTAATGAGGTAAAATTAACATCACATAAAATTCACCATTTTAACCATTTTAAAGTGTACAATTCAGTGACTTTTATACATTCACAATATTGTTCAATTATCACCACTAACTCCAAAACATTTTCATCACCCCAAAATAAAACACATACCCATTATAAGTCATTCCCCATTCTCTGCTCCTCCTCAGACTCTGGCAATGACTAATCTCCTTTTCATCTCTATAGATTTGCCTCTTCTGGACATTGCATATAAATAGAATTATACAATATATGGATGACTTTGGTATTCAACTTCTTTAACTTAGCATAACGTTTTCAAGGTTCATTCATGTTGTTGCATATATCAGAACTTTTTTTCTTTTCTGTACCCTTACCACTCCACTGAAAGTGCATATATCAGCAATGACCTCTATATTGCTAAATGCAACATTTAATTTTTCCTCCTTGTCACACCTGACATGTCAGTAATATTGGTCATAGTTGATCATTCCCTTTTTCTTGAAATCTTTTCTTTGCTAGGTTCTGATACATGATTCTCTCCTGGCTTTCCTCTTAAATTACTAGCTGTTCATTCTCAGTCTCCTTTGCTGGTTTTCCCCCATTTCTTCCACATTACACAAAGTAACATGAAAATGCCCCAGAGCTCAGTCCTTGGATCTCTTCTCTACATCCACAATCTTGTTAATATCAACTCATCTTGTGCGTTTAGAACACTTCCTAAATGCCAATGACCCATAAAATTATATTTCAGGCCCAGCTTCACTGGACTCCAATATTAATATCCTGTTGCTGTCTTGGCCCTTCCATTTGGAGAGCTAACATGCATCTTGATAGGAATGGGTCTAAAACTAAATGTCTGATTCTGTCTACCCAGACTTTATCCTCCTGCTTTTCTTCCCATCTCAGCTCATAACAATGCCATCCATCCTACTTCAGGAAGAAATCTGGATCCATGACCCATCTCTTGCTCTCACCCATCATGCCATCCATCAGCACATCTTTCCTTTAACTATAAAACAACATCCAGAATCTCACTATGTCCTACCACCTCTACCACTACTACCAATTCTGACTCAAGGGAATATCAGTCTTTCTGGATTACACTAATAACTTCTTATTTTGCCCCCTTGTTGCTGCCCTTGCCCCCTTCTGACTTTTAAATATGTGAAGCAGATCATGTTTCCTCTGCTCAAAATTGCTACATGGGTTTCTGTCCTTCACAGAATAAATGCAGAAGCCCTTACCATGATCTTCCTCATACAAACCAGGAAGACTCTTGCCTTAGGACCTCTGCATTTACGGTTCTTTCCAAAATATGCATGGCTTTCTCCCTCAACATCTTGGGGATTTTTTTTTTTTCTCATAAGTATGTTCTCCATGTACCATGCCTGACTACTCTATTTAAAACTTCATCTTACCTTCACCTGTGGCACTTCTTATCTCGGCTTTCTGGTTTATTTTTCTCCATAGCACATATCACCACTTGACATAAAATTTTGTTTTTATTTGTTTAGTGTCTTTCTCTCTTAACACAGGGATTGCTGTTTGTTTTTTTACTGCTATCTCTGCATTGTCTAAAACAACTCTTGGCACAACATAGGTGCTCAATATATACTTGTTTAAGGACTGAATAAATACACGACCTAAGAATAATTCAACAAAATACTTGAAAATACCATAGATAGTGTGTAAATTGTTTACACTTTTATCTGGAATAAAATTGAAGCAACTGGTTATAAAACAATTTATGAACAACATCCATAAGCTGATTTCTTATAATGGGAGCTTATAAATGATGAATATGCAAAGCCTCTTGAATGTAAGATCTACTGAAAATAAAACTGCATTGTCAATTAAGGGAGTGTGGGTAATGAACGAAGCTAAGATTGCACAATAACAATTAACATGAAACAATTAAAACTGTAACTTTTGTAGATTCACATAATAGCTGCAGATCTTCTGCCCCCTGGAGCTAAATAATTAAGTAGTGGCCATAGTTCAACTAAATGTTGTATATTATCTCTAATTTTTCACTATTTATACAAGACAAAAAACTCACAAAAGTACTATAAACAAAAATAGCAAAATAGTCAAGTATAAATTACATGTATTAAAAATGTAGCTTGTGTCAATTGATATGAAATATCTTTCACTAATGTCAACCATTATACTACCTTCATCCTCCAAACTGGAATTTGTAACCATAAAAGCAGTAGATGGGAGTAAGAGTTGACAATCAATTAATCTCCTGGGTACCTCTTTTTATTTCAGAGAGCTCAAAACTATTTAATGAAGTTAATTATCTAAATTTATATTCATATGCATTTTCTCTACATCCCCACCCTCTTTCTTTCTCATTGTTATATTACACCACAATCTAGCTGCAGAAAATTATTTTGGGGATTTTAAAATCCTCTCTCCATGATACATGTTCATCAGGATGAAGCATTGCCAACCATTTTAAGGTCTCTATACCAAAGAAGACACATTTCCTTCAAATCTTATCTTGTACAAGCAAGCTGTGTAAAATTGGCCAGACTCTCTCTCAGATGGTACAGAATGAAGTCCAAGTCTCAAGGCCATTGCAGTAAAAGTTATAATTGACATCCACTTTTGATTCCAGGGGCTTTAGACTATTTCCTTGTCCATTTTCTTAAATTAGTAATGAATTTCAAGGAACAGTTATTAGATCTTAAAAGGTAGCTAGAAGTTAATAAGACAAAAAAGGTAATTTGTAATACATTACTAGGTCCTTAGTTATTTAACTGGATAGTATGTATGCACCATTCAGGTTCTCATTAAAGTATGATTTGTGTATTTGGGGCCTTCATAAATGAGATGAAGGCAACATCCTGACAAACCAATCTAAGAATATTCAGAGAATATTCACAATATTCTGATTATGAGCCACAGCATGCAATTTTTTATAAAAAATTATAATAAGCAATTTATTGAAAAATCAGTGACTAAACACATACTTATTTATTCACAGTCACAAAGCTAGACTTTTCTTTCATATATGCTACTTTGGTAAAGTCTAAAAAGATCCTTCTTTCAATGAATGTGCATGAATTTTCTTGGAAAAGGGCAGTAGTTAGAATGATACTGTTTGAAGGTGTGGGAAAAATCTAAAGGAGTCCTCTAATATTAGAAAAAGAATTTAGTGGAATTGTCCAACTTACCAAATGTTCAGATACCATAAGGGTACCTATACCTATCCCGTAAGCACTTTTATAAAGTTGTTCACATTTTTGTAGTAAAGAGAAATGTATACAGCAAAACAATGAAGTTATGCTTTTTCTTTAAAGATAATACTCACTCAGTACTCTACGTGGCAGCTTCCTCACCATCAGAATTGTTTCAACTTTAAAAAGCTACTATTTCTTCTTTAAATATATTTAACTTACATATCATAAAATGAATTCAGACATTTGGCTATCCAGTTCTATGAGTTTTGGCAAAAATAGACCCATGATCTTTCTTCAATCAATGCTCCATTTATTTAGTCAGATCTTCTTAATGTCTTTGACCATTACTTTGTAGTTTTCAGAATACAAACCCAGCATATATTTTGTGAGATTTATATGTAAGAATTTACTTTGATTGTATTACAAATGGCGCTATTTTTCCAATTCCAGTTTCCAATTGTTCATTGCCATTGATTTTATACTGACTTTGTATCCTGCTACTACGAGAAACTCATTTACTAATTCTAGAAGTTTTTAAAATAAATTCTATGCTATTTTATCCATAGAC